CATCGGGCCTGTTAGTAGTCTTCATCATGACTGGTGCTCTGTGGTCGAGTTGTTCTGGAGTAGGAAGACACTTCGAGGACAGAGATCAACCTTTCTTGAGATCTTTTACGCAGTATAAGAGGGGCCTTGGGAGTGCCGCGGTATTCGTACTGGGTCTTTAGCTTGAACATCTCCTTGCGTACTTTTCATCATGTGCTGAGCAGATAGAGTTTACGGATTCGTGACCAAGGTACCCAAACTGCGTGCTAAAAAGACATCCAAGCTCTAGACCTTTGTCTCCTTGTATCTGTATCGACATAGCCAATGATGACTGTCAGTCATTACACAGAGTGCAATTTGGCCGCATTGACCAGGGCGTAACTCGAAACCCTGCTACGGCGCAAGAAAGATTTGTCTTCCGTCTCCAAAGCTAATTTATGAGACGATACTGAGGATAAAATCCGACTGGACGCAGCTGGTCAAACATACTTCTGAGCCAGGCGGGAGTCCTAGCGTGCAACTTCGGCATTGGCCTAGCTATTACGCTACGCACTGATGGAGGGGGTCCTAGCATGTTCTCACTCTTGGGAGTAACGGTCTCCCAAACCTTATCAGGACCGAGACAGTGAGCACCGCAGCAGCACTTGTATCACAAGCCGGTTATTCGAGCGAGGGGGGTGTCATGACGATCGAGCTGAGAGTGTTGCGGGGTTGATGTGTACAGCAATGACAGGAAGCATCTTATTTGCGAAAGAGCATTGCTACATCAGTTAGAGGCGGTCGTTGAATTTGGGCATTCTCGGTACACCCAGCAGTACTTCATAATGAAAACTTGAAGCGATGTAAAGTTCGTTAAGGAATTAAGGAATATTAAAGCCTGGACAAGACTGGGGGTAGTATTTGGGCTGGCAAGCTACTCTATAAATGCTAACAAAGCGACCTTCTACTAATAAGTCGACCCACCCCCTTTTAGCTACCCCCCCCTTTTAGCCACCCCATTTCTCCATCCCAGCTACCGTATTAAAACCCTACCTATAATTTTCAAACTACTATAATAATTATAAAAATCGTTTAAATATAATTTTTTTTTATATATTTATTTATTAATAACGTATATAATAAGCGAGTAAAATAGATAAGTAAGTAAAATACGAAATCGTAACTACAACGTAAATATATTTAAAAAGTACCGCTAATAGTTTTATATTAATTTAAACTACTTAATATCCTCTTTTTTAAATATTTCTTTAGTAATTTAATATATTTACGTATTATAATTAGTATTCCTATAAACGCTATATTATTATTAACCCGTTTTAATCCTTAGTTAATAACTATTATTTTAACGCGTTTTCTCTTTAATTTAAGTCGTCGCCTCTCTTTATAACTAAAAATCTTCCTTATTAATTATTATAAAACTTCCTCCTTATTTAAAACGTATTTTTTTAGCCCTCTTACGTTAGTTAAATAAGTTATTCTCTTTTTAAAAAATCTAATTTTCTAACTTTAATAAAGTAATTTTATATATAAATCTTCGTACCCCTTTTAATAAATACTTAATAGCTTCGATAATTAAAGTTAAAGAACTATTTTAATAACGGGTAATTCGATTTTTAATAAGTTATAATTATAATAATACTTTTATTAAGTTATTTAATATTTAAGAAGTCTAAGCTAGGGGTATTATTAAAAGGGATCTTAGAAGCGTCGGAGTATATAATTTTATATCTAGCTTAAATAGTATACTCTCTATATTTAAAAGCATAAGCCCGGCTCTTTTAAATCTTCTTTAAATATTTTTTTTTATAATCGCTTTTATAAATATTTTATAAAACGTAAGGAAGAAGTCCTCTTTTATAATATAAGTATTACCCCGTTATATCTTTTTCTTAATTTCTTAGCTATATACTGTTTTTAAAAGCTTAAAATATTTAATATCTAAGGGCTATAGTAAATAAAATAAATAAACTAGTATATAAAGGGTAACGATATTATTCTTTTTATAATATAACTTAAAATCTATAAAATAATAATTTTTATATTCGTTAATAATAAGGAGGTAATATTAACTTTTTATATATAGTTTTATATACTATTTAAAATATTTTACTTAATCTAGGCCTTTCTTATTTATTATTTATCCGTTTTTAAATATTATAATAACCTAATTACGTAGTAAACCGGATTCCGTATACTAAGTAAAGAGGTAATATTTATTTATAATAATAATATATAATAGGATACTATAGCCCGACGAGCTAATAGCCTAGATAATTATAACCTATTTACGATTACTAAGCTATATTATTTTCGTATTTAAATACCTTTTTATACTTATAACGACTATTCTAAATATAATCTAGCTTATTATAAAACTAATCTCGTCGAAGTTATAAATATCGGACTTTATAATACCGTATTTCGTAATTATATTTATTACGAAGTAAAATTACGCGTTTATTATATCTAGATCTTCGTATTAAGCCCTTTTATAATTATACTTATAAAAAAATCGTATTCGGAGCTATAATTAACGCTTAATAAAGTTAAAAACCTAGCGCTTTTTAATAAGGGGCGCGTCGTAGTTAATAAATAATTAATTAGCTATATTTTCTATATTACTAATACGGAAAGGAAACGATTAGGAATTTAGATTAAAAATATACTTAACTAGCTTCTCTTTTTTAAATAATATTAAATTTTATAAATTAGGGGTAGTATTATAATATAATTATATTCCCTTAAGTCTATAAATAAACGTAACATAGCTAACTAAATAGATCTTAGCTATAGCCCGAGTACTTAAATAAAAGTTATTTTAAATAGCTTAGAGAGTAAGCTAAACCTAAGACTCTTTACTTAAGTATACTATAATATATTATAAAAAAAAAGTACCCGGTTGCGTTAGAGTATTATAGTTATAATTTTATATTTTACTTACTTATCTATTTTACTCGCTTATTATATACGTTATATAATAGTTTTATATATTAAAAATAAAATTATTTAGGCTCTTAAGGCTATTAAAAGAGGTTTCTTAGTTAATTAAGCTTTAATTAAGTTCGGAGTTTTAAAATTAACTTTTTATAATTATAAAAGAGGTTATTAAACGAGGGTAATAGTATTTATAAATTTCTAAAGGCTTCTTTTATAATAAAAAAACTAGCTAGTTTAATAAGTTCGTATTTAGTATAATTTAGGTATTATATTAATTTATAAATAGTTTAGAAAATTTACTAAGCGAGTTCTAAGATCCTAAAGGGATATAAATCTTTTTAAAAAGAAATAAATAAACGTTTTTTTAAGGAAGAACTTATTAATTAAGGTTTAGAGAAGTTATATTATTAATTTAAAGTATTTAAATAGGGCTATTATTAATATAATTAAGTTATAGTTTAAATTACTTAATATACTAAAAATTAATAATATTAAATAGGTTAATAAATATAATATAAATAAAACTAATATCCTAGAGAGTAAGGGATTTAATAGCTTAGTTTTAGGTATAATAAAAATTATAATAGTATAAAAAAAAGAGCTTAGTTCGCATACTTAAGTATTTATAATTAAATATATTTTTATTAATAATTAAGCTATTAAACTACTAATTATATATAAAAAAAAGTTAATATAATAGTAGTAATTTTTTTTTAAACTTAACTTTTATATTAGTTAGGAGTTTATAATAATAAATAATAGTTAGATAACTAATAAGACTACCCTTAAATAGTTAAAAATAATATTTTTATTATAAATTAAGACCCCCCCTTTAAGGGGCTTAGTATATTTAATAAGCTTTAACTATTAATTCTAAATAGTTATAAAAGTTATATAATAATAGAATTTATATAAAAATACTATAAAAATAACGTTTACTTACTATTCTTATTATTATATACTTCTTATATTTTTTAGTTATTAAATATAGCTATTTTTAAACTTATTAAGTTTAAATATAAAAAAGAGCTTAATAAAGAGGATATAATAAATAATTTTATTATTATTAAAAAGCGGTACTTCTTAAGCTATTATTAAAAAGCTCGTTTAGTAAGTTTAATATTATTAAATATATAAAATAAATAAAAAATAACTAGACTATATCCCCCTAATATAACTAGACTACTTATTAATTTAATAGTCCTATTTAACCTAATTATACTAATTAAAAAGACCGTAAATACTAAGTAAGTAATTAATAATATTAAAAAAGCTATTAACTAGGTATTAGTAGCGTTTATTATTAACTAATTAACTTTTAAAAAGGCTAGCGAGCTCTGCGATTAATTAAAGTTATTTATAAAGCTTAGTTTAGATTATAATACTTAACGACTATTATTTAAAAAAATAAAAAAAGTATTTAGTAAATAAGCTTCTTATTTAGTAATATTTTAATATTATATTCGAGTTTTAAAAGCTAAAGTTAACTAATTAAGGCTATAAAAAAAGAAGAGTATATTAATAAACTTAAATATTAAGTTTATAAATATTTAAGATATATAAAGAGCTTAAGAGGACTTTAGTAACTATTTAATTAGTTCTAATTAACTTATAGGGGTCGAATTACTTAGGGAGAATAATAACTATATTATTATAATAATAGAAGATAGTTAATTAATTAAGTATAGTTAGTGGTAATGTTTTAATATTATATTTAATAGGGTGGCTAAAAGGGGGGGGTGGCTAAAAGGGGGTGGGTCGACTCAGTGAATTGGCCATCGTTGGATTCGGATTATGAAATATAATGATACATCTATAGGCAATATCATCAAGTTAAACTCTGGCACATCAAACAGAGACCTTAAAGTCCTGTTGCCTTAAACCCTAGTCCGGTGAAGTTCAATGTGCAGTATTTCATTCCCTCACAATACATCGTGATGGGAAAAGCATACAACTTATACAACACATGTACAAATACTTCATTCTGATATCTTGTTGGAAACTTGTCAATTCTACCCATCCCATCCTGCAGTCACAACCTCACCCACGTTATCGATATGTGCGATTATAGACCCTCCCTGTTTCTATATCCTCTTCATGATTGCTACACAAGTCGTAGTCTGCAAGCTCATAGCAACCGAATCCCCTTTCATATTCAGCTTGAAATGTCTCGGCCATGATCCGCCTGCGGGATCCAGCTGTACGAAAGACAACGTGCCTTTGTTCATCAGCTCGAAGACAGCGAGAGAGTCGGAAGGCTCTGTAGTCTGATTAATTGGGGTTGGACTCGGTATCCGAAACGTTAAATCGTTGCGATTAGAAGCGATGATGAATTTGTTGTCCGGCTGTAATGTCTCAAGTTAGCTTGATAGATTGTCGAAGAAAAAACAAGTGGTTCATCACGGAAACTTCTATCTCTGCTGCAATACCACTGGGTGCTGCCAGAAATGAGCCGTATGAGCTCATGATGCCAATTTTGCCTGGCGAATATGTGACCTGGAATGACGTTATAGTGCTGCCGAGATCTGCTATGAAATGAAAGAACAGGGAGTTCCCTCAGGTGAACTTCGCAGCCAGTGCTCCAAACCCGCCATGACGTGGACTTGAACCCGAAGGACACGGTATGTGGTCTTTCTGGGTAAAGATATTTGTGACCTTTCGAAAGAGCAATTTCGAAGAAGGTCGGGACCAAGATCCAACACATCAATACTCCCCAGTCGGGTTCAAGAGTGCATCATGAGTGTGCAGAACGCTATCCCCGGGCTTTGATCCTGTTGGCGATGTGTATGTACACTCGAATCTGGAGCAAGCTAAATTGGCCGTTAGAGGGCCCGTTTCGTGTCGCATACTCAGCTCCCAGCCATCAATGCGTGCGTCAGAATTCTTAGTGTCTCGAGTAGACAACTAAAGTACTCCACAGCCTACAAGTGACTAGCGAACATTCCTCTCTTCTGTTTAGGTAGCACAGCACATCATGAGGCTTGTCGACTTCTGGTGGTACTGCCTGTGGACCGAACGAGTTTGTGACGTATGTTTGTCCTCGAATTTATAGAACGAAGGTAAAGGAATTTACTCTTGGGATAAATATGTGGTGGCCGTACTCGTAAGACAGCTTCAAAGAAGTTAGGGCGCACATCATTTGCTCCCGAGAAAAGCTTGACACGCAGGGCATCGTGACGACAGAAAAAATGAGATATCTCGCGATCATCCTGTTGATAGTATATTCTCTTTGATATGTTTCAGCTCCTGAGTGTTTCATTCTTTCCGATACGGTCTCAAAGGACTTGAGCCGTGATAACATTGTGCCGGCTCTCCGAGCTTGCCGTCCTCTTCTTCAGATCTAAGCTCCTACCAATTGATGTGAGAGGAACGATTTTCTGGTGAAGGTGAACCTTGAATAGGTACTTGGCAATGTGTTTGGAATCCTTGTCTGGCGTTCATTCTCTGCACTACCTATTCTGACACTCTGAATCGAATCAGTCATTCATGAGATATCAAGACTCGCTTACACCAGCTTACCTTTCCTGGTCCCCTATCGATAGTACAGACGCTATGGCAGAGCTTCTGTGCAAGTCGTTCTGGTTACTAAAGTGTGTGAGTGCTACCCTCTACGTCTCGGCGCAATACCGTTTAATGATTGTTAGTGGGTGAGATTCACCTGCTCAATCGCATGATTGGCCATACCAGCCCATTCGTCCTAACTCCTGCTGGCGGTCTCGTTGAGGCGTCCTAATTCCGGCACGTCAGCAGGTTGCATATGAGATAGTTCCACTTAAACACTAGCCCCGATCATGTTTAGCTTCCCTGGTCCAGTTCAGCCACCACCAACGTCGTAGAACCGAACAATGACCGGACTACCCTGAGCTTCTTCTGTGGTATCAAGTTTTCAAAGGATCAGTCTTGAGTGCTTCCAGGGTATCCAGTTCCAAATTGCATCACGTCATTAGACAAATGAGAAATCTCTTCGGCGACCGATAACGTAGTTGCTAATCACGGCCTGGGTCTTAGCCCTATCCTCAGTAAGGTAAGTCGTTGAGAACTGGTTCCAAGCCAATGCGGGCGAGGGGTTTCATGCAGCCTGCTGACACTCTCGAACTCTGGCAACAAACGCGTTAAGGAGGCCCACGAAAAGCCATGGTACCAAGCTTCTGGTCCGATCCCCTCCCATTCAGTTCTAGGTTTGACCAACTTGGTCGCACTTATTCAGAAATCCCGAATGTCAATCTCATGGCTGGACACACAATGAAAGTAAGATACGTGTGGATTCCGCTATATTATCAAGATTCATCTCGTCCGTGTGAAAGAGGAGACACTCTTCAGCGCACAAGCCTAATAGTATCTACTTAAATGCCATCTACGGGAGGAGCCGCACGATGGAGCATTGCGCTAAAACGTGATCTACATCCGCCCCCTGTTCTCGTCCTGGATTTCACTGTGTTCTTTGTGCGGTGTCGTCTTCTGCATCGTCATGCATCCAGTCACTTTTGAGATGAGCTCCTGAACGGAGCTTCTTGGCAGGCCGCGCGGATACGACTTCGGACTTGACCCATTCGTGCAAGTATCTGGCGCTGACATTTAGCAAGCCACTTATGGATGCCTGTCCGGAGTACGTTGAATCAGATGCTGGATCGCTCGTAGAAATAGGCAGTTCAAGAGCATTTTCCTTAGTGTCAACTCAAAAGTCCGTGGATTGCGCGGGGTCCGCTTTACTGAACTGATCCTGCATGACAACAGTCTTTTTTGTCCCTCGCATATATGGAATGGGTCCCGACTTGAGTGATCACCATACGGCTGTTACCAGCTTCTTGCCTAAAGCAGCAGCTCGGTGTGGTTTGCTACGGCCCCATGTTTGCTGGTGAACAAGGACCACCGATACCAGCAGGCCTCCGAAGCCACGGAATCAGCCCAGTAACTGCGTCTAAACATTAATAAATGCAGCGACGATCCTCCAAAGTAAACTGAGTATTTCCCACACTCATTTCATTCATCGTTCAGACTGAGAGTTCTCATCCAGAAACCGTTACCATGGCAATCGGGTATATCCTTGGCCTCCTTGCCCAGACACGATTGGGTTTCGCGTCCAAAACCTCCATAAGTTCGGGTTGCAGCCAAGCAGTAGGACACTCTTAGACTCATGAGCCCTCTCAAAAGCTTCTGGACTAATCGGCCAGCTAGTGCTCTCAACTCATGGTGGAATTCGGCTCCGCCGTCCATCTAGGTAACAACGATTCCTCCTTCGCGATATGGGACATGAAGCAGCAGGAAGTTGTTCCCGCCTGCCGTGTAGAGCCAACCACCGCTTCTCAGGTCTCGAGAGTCGTCGCGATCACTGTGGATAATTGGTGCCGCTTCGCGATCAAGGGCGGCGGACACATGACGAACCTGGATGCCTCCAACTCAGTCGGCGGTATCACGATCGACTTGCACCTTATGGATCACATTGAGATCTCAGGAGACCGCACCAAAGCTAATCTTGGTCCTGGTCATGTTCTTCGCGACGCTTACTTGGCACTGGAGAAGCACAATCTTACGATGGTAGGCGGAAGAACTGCAGATGTTGGACTCCCGGGATTCACGATCGGTGGTGGACTCTCTGATCTCGGACCGCAATATGGATTAGCCGTGGATAACGTTTGGGAGTACCAAGTAAGCACCTCGACTTGATGAAGTTCCCAGGTTTTGGTACCTCATGGAAAGCTCTGAGCTAACTCACACTGCCACAGCTCGTGCTGCCCAATGCCACCATTGTCAATGTGTCGGAGACCGTCCACCCGGACCTTTACTTTGCTTTGCGAGGAGGTGGCAACAACTTTGGCATCATAACTAACTTTCGCTCGCGGCTCGTACCGCAAGGACAGAAATGGGGTGGTGCAAGGACCTATCATATCAACTTCACCGATCAGCTGGTCGATCAGTCTTATCAACTCGCGACCAACTTGGCTACTGACACATACATGTCCTTCTGGACTCGCAACTCTTACGATGTTGCCAATGACCGATTTAGCATAAGTGTTTCGCAAGCGTACTATGAACCTGTCGTTGAACCTCCTGTCTTCACTGAGCTGAACAAGATTCCATATGAGACGAGTAATCTTCGAGTTGATTGGATGAGCAACCACAGTCTGGATAGCGTTTCCCCGCATGGACTACGGTAAGCCGATTTCCAAGGCCCGAGCCTGTTCAAAGATGTTCTAACTGGATGATAGCCGCGTTTATGCTTCTATCACGTTCCGGCCCTCCCGTGTTCTGTACAAACAATTGATCAAGATCTACTCGGAAGAGGTTGTGGGTGTCAAGACCACTCCAGGTCTTTCATCGTCGCTTGTTGTTCAGGCCTTGCACAAGAACGCCATCGATGCCATGAAAGTTCGGGGAGGAAACGCTCTTGGCGTCGAGTCTGATGGGCCACTGATGAGTATGCTTCCTCGCTATTGTCCCCTTCATTCAAATGCCCTATCTGGCAATTGAATCACTTGCTAATTGTCTTTACTGCCAAAAAGTTGCCCTTCTCACTCTTGGATGGTCTAACTCGGGGGATGATGCGGCCATGTATGCCTACGCCGACCGCATCATTAACCGAGGCAAGGCAGAAGCCGAGTCAATGGACCTGCTGCATCCATGGTTGTACATCAACTATGCGAACCATAACCAAGATCCGTTCACAGGTTATGGCGAGAAGAACAAGAAGAGACTCCAAGAAATCCAGAAATCGATTGACCCGAGGGGCATTTTCACCTCCCAGGGCCTGGTTAGGGGATCCTTCAAGCTTAACTGAGCTTAACTCTAGACGTCCAAGTTTCTTCGCGGAGGCTCCACCGGTTTTCACCTGTTCGAGGATCTTCTACTATTAAGACAAGTATCTAGGATAGCTAATTACACTCAACAGAAACCTCAACATGGATTTCTCAAAACTAGTATATCAATATGTTGACAGCGCTGCGACTGATCGAAGTTACCAATCTGAAGTGAAAGTTCTCTTTCACTCTCAATGAACAGGGCAAGGGGGGGGAGGGGTCATCTGTTTTGTCAAGCTGATAGGAGTATGGACTACAGAGTACATCACTGATGAAAGAGCCACGCTCAACATTGGCCGCACGCGGAAGCGAGGTGCCGAGCGCCCAGAAAATGAAGTGGATCTTCGCGGACTCGGGCGACGCTCCGGAGGGATGCCTGACAGCAAAGCGATTTTCCTCAACGCTCTGCAGATAAGCCCCTGCCTCATTATCCATGCTGTGGTTCCAGTCCACCAATGCTTCTTGTTCTAGCATGATTTCCCGAACTTCCCAACCGGACTTGGAGCTGTGGTGATGGGGCTTTATGTGACAGTCTGGGATTTGACTGCATTTATGTGTAAACCTAGCATAATTAATCACTATGTTCACTATGTTCCCCCAGTCTCTCCTTCAATTCGCAATGGGATACCCAAAAAATGATGTGGCTTATGCAACGGGACATACCCGCGAGTGGGCCATACCCGCAGGTTTCTGAGAGTGGGAAGATATTTCCGGACAACCAACTCCTTGCCGTTATCTGGGGGCGCATTGTTTGCTTCAGTCGAATCCGCCAAAGTCACGCGGCTTCATCAATTATGCATGCTCCTGCACGAGCCGTAAAAGCCCCCTGCTGATCCTATTCACAGTCTGGTTGCTTATGCATATTACCGTGTATTGCCGTATGAGCCTAGAAAGCTCTCGGCGAGTATCGTGCTCCTTATTCGTCTGGCTTCAAGGATGATTTGCCTATTTTGATGTTCCCATCTAGATGTGGATCGTAAGCGTATCAATCCCTGCCTGTAGTCACAAACATGCACAACAGATGAGATGAGGGTTCGGCAGCTCAGTCTACCTTGCTTTGTAGTTAAGGGCCGGTCTCCCACCGATTGCTCGCTCGAGCTGTTTCGAAGTCAACCTTCTCAAAACACCAGACATTACTAGCTCTCGTACTAGGACTTTTGCGACATTTGGGATTGTATTGCCACTATCAGACCGTTTTGCAATGTGTGTTGACAACAATGCTGGCGCAGGCCAGACAACGGCACAATCTAATTCACAGCCCAATAATCTCGCAGACCAGGAGGTCATCATCGAAGCTGATGAAGAGGTATTTGCCCATATTGATCCCGATACCCGTCGTGTTTCTAACATCAATGCTTAGGACGACGCGTCCGAAACTGGAGCAGTAAGTTTGGATCTCTCACGTGCAATTAAGCATCTTTGAAATCTGACTTCGCACGCCACCTTGTAGCTAAGCATAGCATCGTCGAGCACAAGCGTCACTAGCTCGATTCTTGACTACCGCATCGAAAATGGTAGAACGTATCACAAGTACAAGGACGGAAGTGAGTAAACAATTCTGGATGTAGTGACCTGGGTTGCCTTAGAAAGTGATCTGACTAGCATTAATCAAACGTAGAGTACAATTTGCCCAATGACGAAAGGGAGAACGAAAGACTTGGTGGGTGTCTTCTGAGATACTGTGACACCCTGATGAATATTTTGACTGACTTCTCAGATCTGCAACACACGCTGTTCCTGCTTACATTCTACGACAAGCTTGGCAATGCTCCTCCGAATGACCCAGGATCAAAGGCTGGAAGGGTCCTTGATGTCGGCACGGGTAGTGGTATCTGGGCAATTGACTATGGTGATGAACATCCTGAGGCTGAGGTGCGTTGTCAATCATCCCAAGTGATATAGGATTGGGCCTAGCTTCTCTGACGACATTGTAGGTCCGTGGCATAGATCTATCTGCTGCGCAACCGATGTTGTGAGTTGCTTCTGCTTATACAGATCTCGCCCATGCTGACTGATAAATCAGTACTCCGCCCAACGTGAGATTCGAAATTGATGATCTCGAGGAGCCCTGGACATTCTCGCAGCCATTCGATTACATCCACAGTCGAATGATGAACTCATCTGTCAACAATTGGAAGGAATACATCGACAAGTGCTTCAAGTATTGTCTCCTTGCTCATTTCCAGATGTCAATGGACTGACCTAGGTAATAGGAACCTCACGCCGGGTGGCTGGTTAGAGTTGAACGAGATTGACATTGCTCCCCTTTCAGACGACGGTACATTGAAACCCGAACACTCGATTTCGCGCACTGTGGGCTTGCTTCAAGAAGCTTCAGAAGTGTTCGGCCGTGCTTACCAAGATGTCAAGCAACTGAAGTTCATGTTGATAGAGGCTGGCTTCACTGATGTGACCATGCAACATTTCAAATGGCCTACTAACCCCTGGCCGAAGGAGGCAAGGCACAAGGAACTTGGGGCCTGGAACAACCAAAACCTCGCACAAGGCTGGGAGGCAATTTGCATGGCGCCGCTAACCAGAGCATTGGAATGGACTAGAGAAGAAGTCATTGTACTGATGGCAGAGAATCGCAAAGACTTTGCGGATCGCAACATCCATGCCTACTTCTCAATGTGAGTTCAGTCTCGACAAGTAGAAACCTCCGCTGTCTTCTATATGGAGCATATAGCTAACGACCCTGATTCCCTACTTTAGCTGGTCAATTTATGGCAAGAAGCCGGAAGAATCTGAAGAGACATCGCCTGATAATGCTTGACTTAGCATAACCTTGCTAGTTTCGGCACAAACCAGCCATACATCACCGTAGGGGTCCATGTTCTATCCTATCTACGACTTCGATCTTCTATATTCCGCAACTCAGTCAGAAGTCACATGCAAACTTGATCCTGGTACACTTGCGCGTTGGAACTCTTGTCTGCACAGAAGACAATGCTCGAGACGGCATATGTCACTAGGATATTTGTTCGGTCTACCGAATGAGACTTGAAAGTACGGCTGCCAGCAGAACCCAATTCGAGATTAACATCAAAAGGTTGCAACTCAAGAATGATTTGATATCTTGTTTTTTTCTACAAGTTGCATTCCCCACAAAATTGAAGCCCTCAGTAGGCATGACATGCTAAAGATTTAACCAGAGGGAAGCAGGCCGCGACTATCGTGCGACTGTATGCTCACGCCACCCAACATGGAGGATATGTGGGCTTTCACAGGGCTCAAATGTTTGCTTTCTGTGCCGCACGCTAGCCACCGCTTAATCAAATATGCTCCTCATGTACCAGGATTATTTCGCCAATGCCTGTTCGAATCCAAGAGTGGCCAACCAACAGAGATAACAAGGTAGTTGGACGACGACCTTGAGCCAACACGCAGTACGCACTCGTCTCCAGTCAAAAAGAGGGGTAAGTTATGTCCCCAAAAATCTGGCATCAGGCCGTTCTGCATGTCTCCTTCCTACTTTCGATTGCGCAGATATGAGACCGTAGTCTGTGAAGTCAGCAGTTTTGACTTAATGCACTCGGGGATTCAACGACTACTGTAACCAACAGCTTCTGAATCCCGGGTGGGGAAAGAGAGCACAACATGTCCCACAACATAAAATCCACTTTCGCATCCGCCAGCATTGTGGCTGACGAGGTGAGTGGTCTCCGAGTTCGATGGACCAAGGCATGCATATTGACTGAACACTCTGGCTTAGTGCATATATGACACTGCATCACAAAGCGATGTGAGTACATGTACCGATGCGACACATCGGGATTAAGCGATTGGAGCTGGCTGATGAAGTGACTTCAGGAGTCAGGACAGGGCCGCGTCGCAGCCTCGATACTCGAATCCAGAGTAGAGAATGGAAGAACGTATCACAAATATAAGGACGGGAGTATGAGCGATCTACCATTTGCGCCTGTTGGTGTGCTAATTGATTAGAGTACTGGGCACCCAACGATGAGCGAGAGAAAGAAAGACTCGGTACTATGATGACGCTCTCCCTGTTTATCAATCTCGGCTGACAGGAGAATCAGATCTGGTGCACAATCTTTACCTCTTGACTTTCGACAATAATCTCGGAACTGCGCCGCCTAACCAACTGGACTCGGGCGTCAGACGTGTGCTCGATGTGGGTACGGGGACGGGGATATGGGCGATTGAGTTTGGCGAGGACCATCCCGAGGCCGATGTTAGCAAAGAAAATTTACCATCTTCCTTATTAGTTGCAGAGATTCTGATATTCATTACAGGTTTTGGGAATTGATTTGTCGGCTTCTCAGCCCGAATTGTAAGAACTGTAGGATGGACTTTGCCCGGCAAGCTTCTGACAAGCCTTATGTTCTAGCGTCCCACCCAACGTTCTGTTCGAGATTGATGATATCGAGGAACCATGGACATTTACGAAACCCTTCGACTATATTCACAGCAGAATGATGAAGGGTAGTATTAGAGATTGGAGAACATTTCTCCAGAGATGTTTCAAGTTGGTTCTCTCTAGTTTGCTCACCCCTGTCACGACTTCAACCGTTAAATAACAGCTCGGTGTGCATAGTAATCTCAGCCCTGGTGGTCATCTCGAGCTGAATGATATAGACTTCTTCCCTCGCTCGGACGATAACAGCATCCCGGAAGGCAGTAAGCTCATGAAGGCTTTTGAGCTCTGCTTCGAAGCACTCGAAGTTCTTGGCTCCCCGTTCGAAGAATTCGGGCGGTTTGAGACTCTTCTCGCAGAGGTTGGCTTTCAAGACATCCAGGTCCATCGCTTCAAGTGGCCTACAAACACGTGGCCCAAGCACAAGAAATACAAGTTATTAGGCGAGTGGAACCATGAAAACCTGTCACCCAACCTAGACGGGCTCCTCATGGCACCATTAACGAGAGCTCTAAACATGAAGCCAGCCGAGGTTTATGTCTACGCCATGGAGGCTCGTAGGGAACTCGCCGATAGAACTATTCATGCCTACTTCGATGTGTAAGACTGAACATTGTTCCTGATTTCACTCTGATTTGTTGCATATTCTCTAACTTACCACTCTACAGCTGGTCAATCCATGGACAGAAGCCCATGTGGTGCTGAGATCAGGCAAGCCTCTACTTTGCCAATATGAGATTCTCATGACACTTTCACTCTTCGGATCACATTATGACTCCAGTATCTGTAAACGCTTCCAATGATGGAAGCCTCAGCTTCAAAGCATCATGTAAAGGCGAATATGTCTATGGCGGTATGAGTTGAGTAGAGTTATCGCGGCTGAGCGCGAACTATATCGAGCTTCCACGGCCGGTAGTACTGAGTGACCAATCACTTTGGGAAAGGTCGTCGTGTGTTGCAAAGGCGCCTAAATTCAGTTCGTCAAGTGACAAAATGCCTGATTGTCACTAGGGTGTATCAATACAAGAATGGAACGACCGAAAATCGGTTCAGGACCCCGGTGGATAGATCTGCTGGTCATTTTTAGCCCGGATCAGAAGATGGAAGGTCTAGACTATAATATGATGCAAATGCAAATGCGATTTTCCAACTTTATTATGTTCATTTGGAACAAACATTGTCATGCCATCGGGGCCGGGCCGGTAGATTCAAGTGGTCGGAACCCGCCGGGCCGGTTGACCCACATCCTATGGGGCCGGGCCGGCCGAGCAGTGAGGGAAATCCCGCGCCTCCCCGCGCACATCATGGAACAGAAAGGCAACCTGAAGTAAGTATGACTAACAAAATGGAGCCGAGGATAGTTCTCAATTGATTAATCCTATTTGCACTCACATAGTGCCGGGTGTGGGAGACCTATTTCATCTGCGGGGTTATATACAAGCTCCCCTCCGTACTTCCGAGGCACTCACTAGCGCCAATATCTACTGCATGAGCCTCGGTGGATTTGATGCACGACCGGCAGCCGGATCGCCGTCGATTCGTGTCCCCGCAATGCTCCGAAGCTCGGTTATGACCGCTACGAGAATGGGGTGATCCAAGGAACCCAAGAAACATGACCAAAGACGGCGAGATATATAAAATAAGTTCCCGTGTTGTAGAGTCTTAAACCAGCTATTCCACTTTTCTTCCTCCCTCCCAATAGATCGCACACGGCCAGAAATAAGTGCACATCACATCACTGAAGGCACAAAATGACAGGCGTCTTCGCAAAGCTCCAGGACAAGAGCCTGCTGGTTTCTTCCGGTCTCGTCGCCGGCGAGTGGAAGAATGGTCAGGATGGCAAGACTTTCCCAGTCTACGAACCGTCAAGCGCGACGGTCCTTCAAGAATGCGCCAACTTGAGCCGGCAAGACTTCGTCGATGCCATCGAGAGCGCTAAGCAGGGGTCAGCCAAGTTCCATGAGTCAACAACAGCAAAGGAGCGAGGCGCCCTGCTTAGAAAGTGGTTCGACTTGGTCATTGCCAACGCTGACGATCGTGAGTGGATTCGCAACATTAGATGACTACCTGCTAAGGAATTGCCAAACTAATGCCCTCTCAGTGGCCCTGATCCTATCTTTGGAGAATGGCAAGACCTTTGCCGAGGCCAGAGGCGAGGTCGTATACGCTGCTTCTTTCATCTCTTGGTTCGCTGAGGAAGCGACACGGTCATACGGCGATACTATCCCCTCATCCTACGCCAACACCACCGTCTTGACCTTCAAGGAGCCCGTAGGTGTCTGCGGAATCATCACCCCTTGGAACTTCCCAGCAGCCATGATCACCCGCAAGATTGCCCCAGCTTTCGCCGCGGGATGCTCAGTCATCATCAAGCCACCAAGCGAAACCCCTTTCAGTGCACTGGCTCTGGCCAAGTTGGCGCTCGCTGCTGGAATTCCGTCAGATATCATCCACGTGGTGCCTACCAAAGATAGAGAGGCGTCGATGGAGCTTGCCAACAACCCCATTGTGAAGAAGCTTAGTTTCACTGGGTCAACTGGGGTCGGTAAGATGCTTACTAAGGCTGCGGCGGGTACGATGAAGCGCGTGAGCATGGAGTTGGGCGGAAATGCCCCGTTCATCGTCTTTGATGATGCGGATATCGATCAAGCTGTCGAGGGTGCTTTGATTTGCAAGTTCAGGTGTTCCGGACAGACATGTGTGGTAAGTCTCTCCAAAGGTAATGATATCATTAAAGTCGGATTAACAGATATCCTCAGTGCGCAAACAGATTGCTCGTCCACGAGGCGGTCAAGGACCAATTCATCGAGAAGCTCGTAGCCCGCGTAAAGCAGTACAAGCTCGGTCGAGGAATTGACGAGGGCGTCACACAAGGCCCCCTCGTCAACGCCGCCGCCGTCCAAAAGGTCGACGCCCACGTACAAGACGCGCTGAAGAAGGGTGCCGTCCTTCACACGGGCGGTAAGGCACCAGAGGGGCTCAAGGGGTACTTCTACGAGCCTACAGTGATCAGCGGAGTCACAACCGACATGGAGGTCGCACATGACGAGACCTTTGGCCCGCTGGCGGCTATCTTCTCCTTCAAGACGGAGGCAGAGGCCGTGGAGCTGGCGAATGCTACAGAGTACGGCCTTGCGGGCTACTTCTTCAGCAAAGACATCTCCCGAGTCATGCGTGTAGCGAGACGATTGGAGTGCGGCATGCTGGGCGTCAACACCGGTCTCATCAGCGCGGCGGAGGCACCGTTTGGTGGTGTGAAGGAGAGTGGACTTGGCCGGGAGGGCAGCAAGTATGGACTGGCAGAGTACCAGAACATCAAGTCTGTTACGATTGGCAACCTTGGCTTCAACTGAAGAGTCATGGCATGTTGGCTTCTGATAGTGGGCAAATCTGGGGTTTAGGGCTGGGCGTTTACTCTGATGACATAGTCTGCGGGATGGTGTATTGGCACAAAACAAAAATTTCGAGGTTTTGATTCAAGTGTTTATCCCATCTTTACGCCGTTTTGATACAGCATGATGACGTCCGTGAACACATTGTTCCACCCCGCGCTGATCTCTCAATGCACAGACGAAGCTAGAATCAGCCTACCCCGTGCTCAACTGTTGCCACGCATGTTTTTCTGATTTGACTTGGTTGAAAAGTTCTAATTAGACTCTTTGCGAGTAATTAAAAGAGATGGGGTAATAAAATCTAATCTTCCTGAATGATTTCATACAGTCTCCCGTAACTCTGCCCAAAACTCCAGACTGAACCGTTCCCAAACCATGCACCCTCCCAGAAATACCCCAGAAACAACAATCCCTATCCCAATATTCCATTTCCATTACACACCGATGATGCAACCGACCTTTTTATCCAGCCATGACAACTCCGGTCTTGCTAGCTTGCTTTTCCAGATATCTCCGATGCTCCGGTTGAATGACAACCAACTCCGTTTTTGTTACGCCGGCGGCAACTGCGCCCTTCGCCAGCTCCTCTTCTATCCTCTTCAAACATTGGTTTGCTGGAGATGGCTTGTGCACTGTCAAGAGCTTGACGGCGCCAATGGCCTTCTCCAACGATTCCACATTTCCTCTGTACGATTCACAAGGGCTCGGGAGGGTGATGTCGACCTTTCCCTTGGCGAGAGATCTCACTAGTGACCCGAGAAGCATGCTGTTGCACTCCTCGGCGTCTGGTGAGCTGTGGTAGTATCCTTTCATGTATCTGCATCCGTCTTTGAGACATCGGTAAAGGAGGACGAAGTGGTCCAAGTAGGCCGAGACCAATGTTTGGCGGTGCTTGGCGATGGTTTCTGTTGACTGTCGTGTTAGCGATTTGACGACCTGACTGAGTTGATCGGCGGAGCAAACTTACCGAAGACTTCCGGGGGCCGAAGGTAGACAATCTTTTCGAGAGGAAAATTGTATCCCTCTGGCCCAGGCTTCCAGATGCGTGCCAAGTGTCCAAATACGATCCTTCCTTGGAGGTCAATCATTGACTCGTAGGTGATTTTCTTGTACATTGTCTCAAAGACTTCCGTGTCTCCCAGCTCCCAAGCAACGCATAGCAGATGCGCATTGTCGGTCTGGTGCTTGACGCCCTGCATCCACGAGCGCGCCCATGGGCGAACGATGACGGTCATGTCGTACTTCTCCGTGATTGTGAGGACGTTGTAGAGACGCATCAATGGTAGCTTCTCCGGGACGAGGTTGAAGTGGCCATGAACGATGTTTAGTACGATTTCCATTGCTTCTGGTGAGTCTTCGGGCAGGTCGACGGCCCACTCTCCAGCACCCTCTACCGGACGAGCCTCAAGGAAGCGACCAAATAGCATGGCCTTCAGCACAGGAGAGCTTCGACCAAGGGCCCTTGAGCAGACGACGAAATCTTGTGGGTGTTCTTCAACGTCGCCGCCGACGGAGAGTCTCAGGTCGCCGCTGTCATCGAGATAAATGGTCGGCGCTGAAATCAACTGAGCCACTTCTTCTGTTGGCTCCGTCACTTCTGTGATCTCAGTCACCGATTCCGTGACCACCATGGTGGAAGAAGCCATCTTGCTAGCGATGACAGCTCCATCGAGGGTATGATAGGGCAAGGAGAAGGACGCGCCCCCGAAGAGGCTGTTGGCCGGAGCTGTTGAACACATCGTGAACTGGCTATACGAGCATCTGAGGTTTCGTCCAAAAGTTCTGCTCACAACAGACTTCGTGAGAACATAAGAGCGGCGGGATCACGTTCAGTTTATCATTACTTGACGGATGCGCGAGATCTAGGGTATCACACACTCGACGAACGGACCGGGATGTCGTCGCTTCGGCAGAGGCATAAAGGGGACCGCAGATCACAACGTTGATGCTCCGATGACATGACTAGTCTTTGTTCGGGAATCGGTCCCCTCTTTTTTCTAACTTTAGGCGAGAGATGGGGGGACGGCGCAAGTTTTTGGGACGAAAGGTTTCTTAAACAATGCGTTATACCTGTTGGTGCCAATGACCGTTTGCTGCCCGACCAGGTGAGATACTCACGGGGCATGGACCCGTTGAGTCTCAAGGCATGTACATAAATGACAGTAATTAGGAAGGGAAATACATGTTATGGAAAGCAAGGAAAGCAAGCTGCCCTCTCACAAACGGCGGTGCTCCAGCGCGGGTGCAACCCTGGGAGCCTTGGAAAATCGTAATATTGTCGCTTTCAAGAAAATCCGGGTTCTTTGTGAGATG